TTCATTGATCTGTTCTATTGTTTTTTTACTTTCTGTATCATTTATTTCTGCTCTAATCATCATTTCTAATCTTCATCATTTCTTTCCTTCTGCTGGCTTTACATTTTGTTTGCTGTTCTTTTTCTAGCTCCTATAGGTGCAAGGTTAGGTTATTCATTTGAGATTTTTTTTGCTTTTTGAGGGAGGCCTGTATGGCTGTGAGCCTCCCTCTTAGAACCACTTTTACTGCACCCCAGAGGTTTGAGGCCATTGTGTTTTCATTTTCACTTGTTTCCATGCATATTTTTTATATCTTCTTTTATTTCCTGGTTGACCCATTCATTGTTTCATAGCTTGTTATTTAACCTCCATGTATTTATGGTCTTTCCAGATTTTCTCTTGTGATTGACTTCTAGATGCATAAGAGATTTGTGTTTTTCAGTGTAGCCAATTTTTATGCCAGCAATTTAACTTATAACATAAAGAGAGAATCCTACCAAAGGTGACTTCGTATGTAAGTCTGTCATCATGATCATGACATTTGGTTTAAAACTATAATTTCCAAATAGCCTCATCAAACCAAATATGCTTATAGGCCTGCTCTTATTTAAATATCAGCACCTGAATGTGTAAGGCAAGTAGGCCTTTAGGTACTCCTTAAACCCAAACCTACAGAGTTGCCTCCTCAGCTTGCTTGCAAAGCAGGCCCTGGAGAGAGCTGTTAGGGCAGCCAAAGAGGTATCCTGAAATGGGAGAGGCATCACCCTTTCTGGAACTGGCCTTGGCTCTAAAAATGAATGCTTGGCATCTAATTTATCTTCCACTTTCTCTGGCCCCATGAAAGGTGGTGTGTGTCTGTGGCAGGGGATGGAGGTGCGGAATTGGAAGGGGCAGTGCCCTCCCATTCTCATCCTTCTCCATATCAAAACATGCTCAGAAGCAAGGCCTGATAAACTCCCTGGCTTTGAGGTGTGAGGGTTTAAAGTACTATCTTCTATGTATTAAGCAGCAATTTACTGAATATTTTTATGCTAGATAATGTCTAAGATACAAGAGAGATAAATTAGACATTCTCAGTTTTTAAAAATGTGCAATCTAGTGGAGGAGGTCATACATGCAAGAGTAATTATTGTAAATGAGAGTCCTTGTCAGCACTGGGTGGAGACCGGTGCTGAGGAGGTCATCCAGAGGAATATGAAGTAAGCAGCCTCGTGGTTCCGGTTGGGACATGGTAGGACCATATCTCTGTACCTTCCCAAAAGCAGCAAGGTAGTGTTTAACGTTAATTATTTTCTCTGGCACTTGAAGCAGGCTTCTTCTTTAATGATGTTTACTATTAACAGAATAATAAAACAATCTTTGGGCCAAAGGGCCTAGACCCTCTACATTGAAATTTCAGATACCCAGAAGGAAGGTGCTCTGTCCCTATAGTCCCAGATCACTGACAGGTCTGTGTGGAGGTTTACACCAGATTGATGCAGAGCAGAGGGTAAAATAGAAACTCTCAGACTGCATTCTGGAGAAGCTGATTCAATAATGTTGGCCTTTGCCTCTAGAGTTTAACCACCTACCCCAGGTCATTTTCATGTATGGCCAAGTTTGAAAATTTCATGATGTCCTGAAATGCCTGAAATTATACCAGATTGGGGCATGTCTATTTGGAAGTCCAGCTCTCGCCCTTTCCTGGCACCATAGCTCAGTGTCAAACAGTGACTTTGGCCCCAAACAGATGGGATTCATTGTGTTTCAGTGTCCATATGTGTTACATGGATGCTGCTTGCTCCAGAATCCTGGTCCATGAACTTCAGCAGGATGGGACTTGGGGCCAGATCAATAGTTTGCAAGCAGTGTCCCTGGATGGCTACTTGAATAAGAGTTCTCCAGGGTGCTTGTGGAAAATTCCCGAATCCTACCCCAGGCCTGTTGAATCAGAATCTCAGGAATGAGCAGGAATCTAATTTTAACAAGTTTAGTCCATATTAAAAGTATTCCTCAAGTGGTTCTTGCTCCTATTGAGAACATCTAGACCAGGTTCACCAACTGAGGAGACAGATGAGGGCAGCGTCGGGAAGGTGACAGGTCCAGGTAGCCAAATATAGTACCTATAGGGTCTGGTGACAACTCACCATAATGGAAAAGAGCGTGGTGTCTGCACAAGGGGAGTGGCTGAGGAGGAAATTCTAGGGGGTGCTATGGGGAGGGTGGAGGGAGGCCCTGATGTAGGAGATTCAGGAAATACTTTTGTCATGGATTCTCTCAGCAGAAGGACCCTAGTTACAGCACTGGGAATTGGGGGCAGGACACCAGTCCTCCAAGGAGACCAGGGTCCGAGGCGGATCCCCAAAGAAGAATTAAGATGGGAGGCAAAATGTAGCAATTTGCTGTGAACTCTGGGTAGAGCAGTGACTCGAGGTGGAGTCTCTGAATATGAGATTCCTCCAAACTGAGTTGAATGGGCTTCTGCAGGTAGCAGTCAAAGGGCCACCATGAGTAAAGAGAAGTATAAGGCTGAAGAAGGCAGCACTTGACAGCCTGGCATTGCTGGGAAGGCTGAGATGCAGAGGAGGATAACCACAGCACCCTAACAGCTGGAAGAAAGCCATGTCCCTGAACTCTGGGGTGATCATTCTAGAGTACCATCTTTTCATGGTACAAGAAAATGATTATAAGAAAACTGAACCCTGAGTAGTTGTAAAAAACCCATTTGGGGGCACCTGCGTGGCTCAGTCTGTTGAGCGTCTGCCTCTAGCTTAGGTCATGATCCTGGAGTTCCAGGGTTGAGGCCCGCATAAGGTTCCCCCAGCTCAGCGGGCAGCCTGCTTCTCCCTCTGTCAGTCCCCCTGCTTGTGCTCTTTCTTTCTCTCAAATAAATAAATAAAATCTTAAAAAAAAACAACAAAAAACATCATTTCTAGTTTCACTTATGAAAAGCAGCTGCTTTATATAACCAATAAGATTGGGCCAGTTTATACAGCCAGTAAATGGGGAAAACTTTTGCCCATTTTAATAACAAAAAGGAATTTAAAAAAGAATGCAAAGAACTGCGCATAACTAAGTACACAAGTAGGCGTTAGTTAAAACAATGCCATTCTGGAGGGTTGTTTTTTTTTTATTTTATCAGTAATTAGTGTTATGGGAATTGGAATAAATAACAAATTTTTTAAATGTGTAATTAAGGGGGTGCCTGGGTGGCTCAGTGGGTTAAGCCTCTGCCTTCGGCTCAGGTCATGATCTCAGGGTCCTGGGATCGAGCCCCGCACAGGGCTCTCTACTCAGCTGGGGGCCCATTTCCCTCTCTCTCTGCTTGCCTCTCTGCCTACCTGTGATTGTTCTCTCTGTCAAATAAATAAAATATTAAAAACAAATAAATAAATAAATGTGTAATAAAATAATAAAAGGATAAAGTCACCCATTTTCTCTTTCTACACGCCTATGTATAAAGGCATTAGACAGAACTTTAGCATCCTAAAGTTATGTTTTTTCACTCATAGATATTTATTGCCTATTTATCCTAAGATACAATGTTGTCTGTACCAACATATAAGCCTAAATTTAATAAAGGTTAAATAGTACTATATTATATACATTGTATAATATGTAATATAACATATGGTATTATATTATCATATATAATATATATTAACATTTGTTACATACTGTGTTATATTATTTACATAATATATTACATGTACATGTGTGTGCATGTATATACTTACACATATATATTACATGTTATGTGTATATGCACACATATATAATATATACATAGATATGTAATCTCCTATCAAAGTAACGGAAGGAGCTAGTTCCTCTCCTTTCAAAGTGCCCCAGTTATTTCCAAGTATGTCCAAAGGCGACACCTCACACATTTCCACAGACCAATCATTATGGTCTTCCATAGTCAACACGCTGTTCTTCCTTTCCTCCTCTGGCACCCATTCCACCACAGCTGTCCAAGGAGCCACATGGAAAAGCTCAGAGTATTTCCTAGCCCACACTCACAGTGTGGTCTCCAGAATTCCTGTGCATCCATTAGTGCCCAGAGGGGCTGGGACAGTGGTGGAAAGAATGTACTTCTCTGTTCCTTGGGCCATAGGCAGGAAGAAGAACCCATCAGTGCCAGCATCTGCCTCCTCCTCTAGCTCAGTCTCTAGCCTTCCAGTGATAAAAGTCTTCCCCACACATGGTACTGGCAGGAAATGACTAAATGGGGCGGGGTGGGGGGGTGCAGGTTTGGTGAGAAGGAGCTGAGACCCGGCAGCTTCTAGAGTGATAGCTGAACCCACGCTTGGGAGAAAATAATTATATCCTGTTTTTAATAAGCTTTCAGACAACTACCAAGGAATATTGCCTTTCATTCCTATGGTCTTTAGGCAAAAATTGTTTGTAGGCTAGTGTTGTTTTTCCTCTACGTGAGATAGGAGAAGGGGGAAGAATATTGGAAGTGCTTATAATGCTAGTATTTTGTTAACTTAATTTGTCCTTCTGGAAAATCTGTTTTTACTGCTATGGGAAACATACAAAGATCCAATACTAAGATTTCATTTAAAGTCCTAGGGAATGTGGCTCTCCATTCCTGCATATTACCACCTCACACATAAGTACAGTAACTAGTACCCACACTGACAAAGGAATTGGGACCCACGTGCGGCTATGATCTGTTTCAAGTTGAGAGAGAAAGGCCTTCACTTTAGGAAGCTGAGGCCCCCCAGGTCCTGTCTGGGAGAATGAGCTGCCCTCCCTTCCTCTCTGGGACCCCAGTGTTAGATGCTGGGTCAGGGGTGCCTTGTGGGCAAGACTGAGGAGGGAGGATGTAAAGAGCTGTTTCCACTTTCCTGGACTCGTGCTGTGTGTCTTTGAGGTCTCCTTGGCTTCCTAGTACCTGAGACCCCTGGAAAAGAGTGGTGCAAATATAACCCTGTCTGACATTGAAAACAGAGCACTCTTTAGGCTCTCCTGACAAACACACCGGAATCCCATGGTTTGCTGGATTTCTCCCATTTCTCTGTCCTCTTATGCAGCCTCTGACAAGAAATTTAGAGATCAGCTCTTTCAGTAACATCTCTACCCAAGAGCCTGGACCGCTTTGGGGTGAATGATGCCTCAAAAACCCTGAGATAGAATTTCCAAGCCATCACTTCAAATTACTGCATAACTGTGTTCATGGAAGTAGTAATGATGATGCTAATACATGTGTGGGAAAGGAAGAAAAGGAAGAATCTGGGCAACTCAACTCAATGAGGTAATACCCTTGGTTTCTTTTCTTTTTTCTTTCTTTCTTTTTTCTTTTTTTTTTTTGTGAAGGGAAAAGTTGAAGTTTTTTATTCATTTGATGACCATTTCCTCAACACCTCTCTTCTCTCTACTATGACACAGTACAAACATGAGGAAAGAGCTCACAATTTCATGGGGGTGACAGAAGTGGGTTTTCAAGATGGTAGTGGAGGGACAGAGGCATGCTAAGCATAAGGTGCCCACCCAGAGCCAGACAAGGAACTTGGCACCTGGGGGCAGAGGGAATGAGAAGAGGTGTTCTAACCTGATGCCTTTGGTTTCTCAGTGCCGCAGACCCGGTGGCTTGTTAACAACAGAGATCTATTTCTGTGATTGATAGTCTGAGATCAAGGTGTCAGCATGGTGGGGTTCTGGGGAGATCTCCCTTCCAGCTGCAGACTGCTAATTTCTTGTGTCATCTCTTATGGCAGAAAGAGGGTTGGTGAACCCTCTGGGGTCCCTTTTATAATAGCACTCATCCCATTTATGAGGTCTCCACTATTATGACCTCATCACCTCCCAAATATAATTATCTTCACATTGTGGGTTAGGACTTCAACAGATGAATTTTGGGGAGACACATGCAGTCTATAACACCTGAATCTCAAAGAATCATGAAGGATGGGGACTCGGGGAAGCATGGTCTTGCTGACAGATGAAGGTGGAACATGGAATCCAGAGGAAATACTCCCATTAGACCAGAGTTCTACAAAACAAATATTTCTCTGCAAAAACATGGAGTTTGGGTTTCAATTTGGAGGAATACTTTTGCCCTACTTCTTGAGGGGCACTTACCAAATATGTCTTCATTGGACAGATTTATTTAAAATGGTTCAGGTGTAATTAGTTGGTTTCTTAGTGATTTGGCAGTGGAACTGCTTCTGAGAAAACCTGGTCACTACAATTAGTGATTGCCCAGTTAGAATGTGAAAGATAATATGGCAACAGAAAAGAGACTTGGGGAATGCCTGGGTGGTTCAGTTGGTTAGTGTCTGACTCTTAGTTTTGACTCAGGTCATGGTCTTAGTGTCTTGAGATGGAGCCCCACATCAGGCTCTATACTTAACATGGAGTCTGCTTGGCCCTCTCTCTCCTTCTGCCCCTCCCTACTCATGGTCTCTCTCTCTAAAAATAAAATAGAATAAAATCTTAAAAAAAAGAGAGAGAGAGAGAGGGTGAGAGAAAGAGACTTGGTTCTGCTGATGAATAATGTGAATGAACACCTGCGGAAAACAAGTTTTCTAGTTTGTAAATGCAACTTAATCAGGTGTATTAATGAGACTGTCTCTGAACAGCACCGTGTCCTTTCCCAAAGTGCTTTTCCTGTACATTCTTTCATCAAATCTGCTGATTTTACTGAATAGCTTCCTGAAACAAGAACTTGTGTATATTTATGGTTGTTTATTGGCTGTTTACTAGGAGCTGAGCACCAGGACAAGCACTTCCCATGCTGTTCAGCTTGTTGATGCTGCCCCATGAAGTAAGAGCTTGACTGTCCCATACTACAGAGCTCACATGGCAGACACCACCAGAACTCATCACTGCCTCTTTCATCCCATGACTACATCTTTGATATTATCCTTTAATATTATGTATTAAATTAATATTACATTAATATTAATATTATGTATCCAACTGTCTTTTTAAAAATATTTTTTATTTATTTATTTGACAGAGATCACAAGCAGGCAAACAGGCAAGCAGAGAGAGAGGAAGGGAAACAGGCTCTCGGCTGAGCAAAGACCCCAATGCAGGGCTCGATCCCAGGACTCCGGGATCATGACCCAAGCCAAAGGCAGAGGCTTTAACCCACTGAGCCACCCAGGCACCCCCCAACTATCTTTAAATACTTTCTATACCTACTCTTCCTTCATTGGTTGGTAGATCAGATACAACTTACTTAGTTTAAGAAAAATCTTCCAGTTCAGTGTCTTACTGGATTCTGAGAAACATGGGATTCTTAGAATTGTGAGCAACTATCTACCACAGTGGCTTTGGGGAGTCTCCCTGGGCTTGTACCCTGGTTCCACTGGTCACTCCCTGAGTGAGCTATTGTACTTCTCTGTGCTGCCCTTAGTACAACTGGGGGAGTAATGTTACACTTCACGAGACCGTTTGAGGCTGGATAGACAATACAGAAAATGGAATAAAATTGTGCTGCATGTAATAAATACTCAGTAAACACCAGATTTTAATATTATTGTTTAGGGCTGTCATTGATTCCATTACTTTCTCACATTTGCATTTGCAACTAACACTCTTTAAACTGTTCTCTCTTACCTGTATTTATGTGAGATAGGTTTAGGTAATATATTAATATTATATATATTATTTAATCATAGGAAAAGAACTTGCTCTCTTGCCCACCATCTGCAAGCCCCAACTCGCATGGGTCTTCCTCTTTGAAACCCCTGCTGACCCACACTCCCATGGGAGTCACCACTAAGCTTTGCGACATACGTCTTCAGTATCGCTCATGGCGCTCATTAAAGCGAGTTGCTTACATATCTAGCTCCCTAATAATAACTCTGGATTTGTTAGGATCAGGGAGCATGCCTTATTTATCCTTTTGACCTCAGTCCATTGCAGATTTCGAATTATATTCCATTAATGAGCGGACGACTGAATTAACAAACCTAAAAGGATGATATTATTCATTTTTAAAATAAAGTCTGCACATCAGAGCAGGAAGAGGCTTAGGAATAACTAAGTCCATTCTCTCTTTTCCCATTGTCCCTTCCTTTAGAGGTGAAGAAGCAGAGGTACAAAGGGGCAAGACTTGCCTAATGTCACATGGATAGTTAAGTGGTCAGAGTAAGCCCGTGGAAGTGCGTGGCCCTTGACAGACAATCAGAAATAGTTGCCACACAAGAAAACAAAATCCAAATCCAGGTCTTTTTTTTTTTTTTTAACTGTTTTGTCCCTTTTTATCATGATTAATTTTTTCAGTGAAGCTGCTTTTAGCTATAATTAACAGAAAATGCAACTCAGTTTGGCTTAAATAATAAAGGTTCCCCCCTCCCCGGCTCCTGTGATTCAAAAATCTAGAGGGGAGGGCCGATTTCAGGGCTGGTGTGATTCAGCAACTTAGTGATATTGTGGTTTTCTTTCTGTGTCTCCATGTTGCCTCCTGAAGTATGAGCCTTATACTAAAGCTGCCTCCTTTTTTTTAAATTTAATTTTATTTTATCAGTGTTCCAAGATTCATTGTTTATGCACCACACCCAGTGCTCCATGCAATACGTGCCTTCCTTAATACCCACCACTAGGTTCACCCAACACCCCACCCTACTCCCCTCCCAAACCCTCAGTTTGTTTCTCAGAGTCCACAGTCTCTCATGGTTGTCTCCCTCTCCGATTTGCCCCAATTTACTTTTCCTTTCCTTCTCCTAATGTCCTCCATGTTATTCCTTATGCTCCACAAGTAAGTGAAACCATATGAAAATTGACTTTCTCTGCTTGACTTATTTCACTCAGCATAATCTCCTCCAGTCCCGTCCATGTTAATACAAAAGTTGGATACTCATCCTTTCTGATAAAGGCATAATACTCCATTGTCTATATGGACCATATCTTCTTTATCCATTTGTCCATTGAAGGGCATCTTGGCTCTTTCCACAGTTTGGTGATTATAGTCATTGCTGCTATGAACATTGGGGTACAGATGGCCCTTCTTTCCACTGCATCTGTATCTTTGGGATAAATACCCAATAGTGCAATTGCAGGGTCATAGGGTAGCTCTATTTTTAATTTCTTAAGGAATCTCCACACTGTTTTCCAAAGTGGCTGCACAAACTTGCATTCCCACCAACAGTGTGAGAGGGTCCCCCTTTCTCCACATCCTCTCCAACACTTGTTGTTTCTTGTCTTGTTAATTTTGGACATTCTCACTGGTGTAAGGTGGTATCTCAATGAGATTTTGATTTGAATTTCCCTGATGGCTAACAATGATGAACATTTTTTCATGTGTCTGTTAGCCATTTGTATGTCTTCTTTGGAGAAGTGTCTGTTCATATTTTCTGCCCATTTTTTGACATGATTATCTGGTTTTTGGGTGTTGAGTTTGAGGGGTTCTTTATAAATCTTAGATATCAGCCCTTTGTCTGTAGTGTCATTTGTGAATATCTTCTCCCATCCCATGGGTTGTTTCTTTGTTTTGTTGACTGTTTCCTTTGCTGTGCAGAAGATTTTGATTTTGATGAAGTCCCAAAAGTCCATTTTTGCTTTTGTTTCCTTTGCCTTTGGAGACATATCTTGAAAGAAGTTGCTGTGGTAGATGTCGAAGAGGTTGCTGCTTATGTTCTCTTCTAGGATTTTGATAGATTTCCTGCCTCATTTTGAGGCTTTTTGTCCATTTCAAGTTTATCTTTGTGTATGGAGTAAGAGAATGGTTGAGTTTCATTCTTCTATACATAGCTGTCCAATTTTCCCAACACCATTTATTGAAGGGACTATCTTTTTTCCACTGTATATTTTTTCCTGCTTTGTCGAAGATTATTTGACCATAGATCTGTGGGTCCATTATCTGGGCTCTCTACTCTGTTCCACTGGTCTATGTGTCTGTTTTTGTGCCAGTACCATGCTGTCTTGGTGGTCACAGCTTTTCAGTAAAGCTTGAAATCAGGCAACGTGATGCTCCCAGTTTTGTTTTTCTTTTTCAACATTTCCTTAGCAATTCGGGGGCTTTTCTGGTTCCAAACAAATTTTAGGATTGTTTGCTCCAGCACTTTGAAAAATACCAGTGGAATTTTGATTGGGATGGCATTGAAAGTGTAGATTGCTCTAGTCAGTATAGACATTTTAACAATGTTTATTCTTCCAATCCATGAGCATGGAATGATTTTCTACCTTTTTGTGTCTTCTTCAATTTCTTTCATGAGTGTTCTGTAGTTACTCCAGTATAGATCCTTTACCTTTTTTGGTTAGGTTTATTCCAAGGTATCTTATGGTTCTTGGTGCTATAGTAAATGGAATCAATTTTCTAATTTCCCTTTCTATATTTTCATTGTTAATATAAAAGAAAGTGACTGATTTCTGTACATTGATTTTGTATCCTGCCACATTACTGAATTGCTGGATGAGTTCTAGTAATTTGGGGGTGGAGTCTTTTGGGTTTTCCATATAAGGTATCATGTCATCTGCAAAGAGAGAGAGTTTGACTTCTTCTTTGCCAATTTGAATACCTTTTATTTCTTTTTGTTGTCTGATTGCTGTTGGTAGGACTTCTAGTACTATGTTGAACAACAGTGGCGAGAGTGAGCATCATTGTCATGTTCCCGAGCTCAGAGGAAGGCTATCAACTTTTCCCCATTGAGAATGATATTTGCTTTTGATTTTTCATAGATAGATTTTATGAAGCTGAGGAATGTTCCCTCTATCCCTATACTTTGAAGAGGTTTAATCAGGAACAGATGCTGTATTTTGTCAAATGCTTTTTCTACATCAATTGAGAGGAACACATGGTTCTTCTCTCTTCTCTTATTGATTTGTTCTATCACATTGATTGATTTGCGAATGTTTAACCACCCTTGCCTCCCAAAGATAAATCTTATCTGGTCATGGTGGATAATCTTTTTAATGTACTGTGGGATCCTATTAGCTAGGATCTTGTTGAGAATCTTGGCATCCATGTTCATCAGGGATATTGGTCTGCAGTTTTCCTTTTTGATGGGGTCTTTGCCTGGTTTGGGGATCAGGGTAATGCTGGCTTCATAGAAAGAGTCTAAAAGTTTTCCTTCTGTTTCTATTTTTTGAAACAGCTTCAGGAGAATAGGTATTATTTCTTCTTTGACTGTTTGGTAGAATTCTTCAGGGACTCTGTCAGGTCCTGGGTCTTGTTTTTTGGGGAGGTTTTTATTCACAGCTTCAATCTCGTTACTAGATATTGGTCCAATCAGGTTGTCAATTTCTTCTTGTTTCAGTCTTGGAAGGCCACCTTCTTCTTAAGGATGGCTGCCAGCTACTCTTGGGGCTACGTGCATGACACCCCCAACCAGAAAAGAGAGAAAGTGAGGGACTGGTTGTGGATGGGGGTGGGGATTAAGGATGTGGTGGGGGGAGGTGTGAGTCACTGCTAATGGGTATGAGATGTCTTTGGGGGGTGAGGAAAACGTTCTTGAGTTGATTGTGGTAATTGGTGTAAGTGTATGAATATACTTAAAACCATTTAATTGTACACTTGAAGTGAATTGCATGATATGTGAATTATATCTCGATAAAGCTGTTTTATTGTTATAAGTGAGAAAAACAATGCTCTACCTGATAGCTCATTCTCTGCCTATACCCAAGAAGTTTTGCATGACCTTGATTGAATTGAAGCATGCTTTATCCCAAGTTATGTGTAATCTTCAGAACAACATGAATGTGGACACAGGTGAGATGTGTGGCTCTGCTGTGCATGAAGTCTGAAGGTCATTAGAAGAAGACAGGAAGAGAAGAGAAGAGGACATGGACATTGGGGAAACTTTACCTGTAGGGGAA